GGGCGGGGTTCGGGAGCATGTTGCCGTAGAAACAGAATCGTCAGTCAGCCGGTGTGAAGTCAGCGGCGCAATGTGAGGTGGTGACTGCAATTGGATGGAGGTGGGCGATGGAGTGTATGTGTGTGTGAGTGACTCCATTAGAATTCCAAGTGCGTCCACTGCTGTGTGTCACACACACACACACACACACACACACACACACACACACACACACACACACACACACACACACACACACACACATATCATTGACAGCATCATCTATAGCACGAGTGGGAAAACCTTTTGTGGGCTCAGTGTTATGGGGCTTTGTATAACAGATGCTGCAGCTTGGTAGACTTGTGGTTAGCACATTTGTCTCACAGTTCTGAAAATGGGCGTTTGAATCTCGATTCAGGTATGTACACAGCGATTGGTCGACAACCAATTTCGGGTGAATCCCACACTTCTCTTGCCCAAAGTGGAAAGAGAAGTTTGATGGCTTGCCGTAAAACATCAAATCGAACAAATATAACTTCACCCATGCTGTAAAACAAATAGAAAGACTGGCATTTTGGTTTGAAGCGGCCATTTTACAGGAATTTCATAGATGAACTTGTCCTTGAGATTTTGTCCGATTGCTACCAAATTTGAACACACAGATGCACAGCGATGAATTAAAATTGAGTGTTCATCTTTACATATGGGCACTTTACGTTACAAAACTTGTCATCAAACACCAAACTCTAATAATTCTCTTCCATTCCATGTACAATGCCTCCACAACTCCATCTAATGAAGCTTATAATGAATTCATCAAAGTAAATGGTAAATGCATTCGTGAGTGCACCTTTTCAGGAAAGGCAATCTCTTAAAAGGGATAGGCACATAAACTACGGCAGCATAAGTGGCGACACTATAATTACACAGGTCTGCCTATTCCAATTAAAGATGTAATATGCATAAACCACACTCAAGATTAACATTGGATTAACTACACTTCCCAAATACCCGGGAGTGGGGCAGCTCACCAGATGCAAAGTGGGGGCGGGTCTTAATAATTACACAGGCCATTATTATTATTATTATTATTATTATTATTATTATTATTATTATTATTATTATTATTATTATTATTATTATTATTATTATTATTATTATTATTATTATTATTATTAGGATCTTGTTTCGACTTGAAAGGTGTATTTATAACCAAACAGATATGTGAGCACACACATAGAAAGCAAACACAGCTGAAGTTAGTAAATATGCAGGGTCAGGATATAAACAGTGGCAGCTAGACTTAAATGAATGTGGCTGCACAACATATTGTCATAGTATTGCTTATCAGACCGCCACTTTAGATTAAATCCCAATGGCAGCAATGTTATTACTTTAGCCTTATGAATTATGCATGCTATTTATAATATCAACAGATATTGTGTGTTCTTTCCTAAGATGCATTCTTCACATCTCTCTCTCTCTCTCTCTCTCTCTCTCTCTCTCTCTCTCTCTCTATATGTATGTATGTATGTATGTATGTATGTATGTATGTATGTATGTATGTATGTATGTATGTATAAAGAGGTAGGTAGGTAGTTAAATGTTTGTTTGATACTGTGTCTTGATAGCATAGAGGATATGCGACATAAAAGCTTTGCCCCGAACCTCATAATTGACGTTTTGACTGAGCGTCCGAGGGGCTGCGCTCTTCCTTTTAAGGCAAGCGAAGACCAACTCATTTCCTGTCATCGCTGCGTGTAAAACTGGAAGCGGCGAGCAGGAAGAGGAGGAGGAGGGGGCATAATTCTCAGACATGTGACGTTTCCGCACCTCAAGGTTTTGGGGTTGTGAGAGAGGATGGGGGTGGGGACCAAATGGAGAGTGTGCATGGGAGGAGGCGGGTGGATAAATATTGTTTACCGGGCTTGTTTATTTATGTTTCTCTTTGAGCATGACTCATACCTTTTTTTTGTGCATCCACTAAAGTCACACATTCGTTTAGATTATCGCTCTACCAGTGCTAACCAAAAACAGACGTCAGTGGAGGTCCAAGCAAAAGTCAGGATAGGCTACACATAACCAGCTAAAGACATGGTAATCCTTTCAATTAGCCTAATGTTTTCATCATAAATCAGAGTCGCTCGCATTGGCTCCCTTAAATTTGTATCCTTGTCGCCCATCATCAAAGATATGCCAATTAGCCACTTGACTGCATGAAGCATTAGCGACATGAAGGGTCATTTATTCGGCTGGAGAGGATTTGTTTGCGACAAATAAAAAAAGTGTTCGTACAAGGCGACGTGTTGTTTTGTTGCGTCCAAAGCGATTAAGCAGCGTAATCCCATCAGGAGCGGGAATGTTTATTTGGAGAGTGTAGAGCTGTCCATGGTGCTGATTCAAGGCCAAAAGAACTGATGGCAAATAGTGCTGATTAAACCTTTAAGTCTGCATTTACACTGCATGCCATACATGGGGAATTTGCAATTCAAAAAATACTTTTTGTCAGCTATGTTTAAAATGTCAGTATGACCTGACCGTGAGGAAAATGACTTGAATGAAATGAAAAATTCGGCCCCTATGGCACCATCGTATGCCCCTTGAATAGGTGATCCTGAAAACCTGGACTCACCCCCATTCACCCATTTTTAATATGCTTATATTTATGTTTTATATTTACATGTACATAGTTTTTGTCTTTTTGTCTTCTACTTTCTCCCTCTGCTGTAAATTGGGAATTTCTCCATTGTGAGACAAATAAAGCTTTTCTTATCTTGTTCTTATCTTATCTTATTTGATTTGCAAAAAAAAAAAAACTGACACGCCCAAGAAAAAAACAACCAATCATAATGTGGCCTTAAAGTTTTCAAGATCAGTACTAACACATAATGGGAAATACCACATACAGGCTAACAAATATCTGTGTTGCAGTGTTACAAGCCTTTAAGCAACAGGTACTTGAACAACAGCGGTAAAGCAACACAGATAAACGGGTAAAATAATAAGAATACTCACAAACATGTATTTTTTATTATCTATGATGAATATTTTAATGTCTAACTGAGGAGCAAAGACAATTTTGTACATTTATACTATACTGCGCCCAGATGGCCAAACCATGCACAGGAGAAGTCCAATTTCCATTAAATTGAAGCATAGAATGTAGAAAAATCTATTTACTTTATTTACATTCTGTTTAAATATGTCATTGCAGTATTTTCTATGAATTATAATATTCTTAATTTCTGATTAAAAACACATTACAAAATTTGCTATGTGTTCTGTCATATTATATTTGTTATTTTGTATTGAATGTAAACCGCTTTGTTACAGAGGCAGCTGTTATGGAAGCGTTAAAAATAAAATAAAAATAAATAAAAAATGCATTGTATTGTTTTGTATTTTTTGAAAAGCTGGAACGGATTAAGGGCATTTTCATTCATTTCCACTGCGGAATGACGATTTACGATTGGAGTATTTTGAGTTAAGTGCGTGGTCATCAAATGAGTTGAACTCATATCTCAGTTGTATTTCCGGTTTCACGATTATCATCACACTTTTCCTTCTTAAACCCCAAAAATCATATTCCCAAACAAATTAAGCAAGTCTGAAAAACACTTAAAGGTTAAAAATACCAAAAGGTCAATCAATTTCCTTTTTGAAAATAAAATTGGGAATGCTTTAAATCCAGGTTGAACCCCCTCCCACCGCCACACACATAACTATCATTGACTTATAAAAAAAAAAAAAATCAAAATTGCCAAAACTTTTTCTTGCACTGTTCGTTCTTTTAGTAATATTAGTAAGCGACCGTTTATTTTGAATTTTTTTTAAACGTCTTATGTTATTTTGTTTGTGAATTCTTTGAAATCCTGTACTTGTCATTATGTTTTAGCACACTGAGTTACCTTGTGAATGAAATACCCTATATAAATAAAACTGACTAGCCTTGTCATGCCTTTGAAATCTTTAAATATTTTATCAAAATATAATGTAAATGAATGTGAACTATATGAGGCTCCAGCACACCCTGCGACCCTTGTGAGGATAATGAAAATGCATGGATGGATGGATGAACTTTTAAAAAATCATTACTGAGGTTAATTGTCGTTCAGATTATAGTGTCCAGAACACGAACCACTGGGCCTGACAGAATTGAACTACATCGCCCTCTGCCGGTTGTAACCAGTATGAGGAGCTCTGAATCCTCTTTCAAGGAGACATCTTGAGTTTTCTCCGGGTACTTGGGTTTCGTCGTTTTATTTCATTTCCTTATTTTGGACAATAAACATTTAATCAGAATATTTAATTTATATTTTAACTCCAAAAAAAATGCAAAATAAATAAATAAATATAATATTAGATATTTAGCCTTGAAAGTTAAAAAGTAATATACAGTATATTTTAAAAAAATACGAACTCATAAAATTTACCACGATCCTTTCAATAAGCCCCCTCTTAACTCGGCATTTAAACTTTAAACACAATGTTGGAAACACTTAACAACAATAATATTCAGACCCACTTTGGCAGTTTTTCTTTCTTTTCATTAGTCATCTGATCTTAAATGACACGTACACGCTACAATGTCCTCAAGTACTCCTAAGAGTACGCCTAACCTTAGTTGAGAAACCCTGCTCTAAATGTGAGAATATATTTTAGTAACAGGGTTGTATGTTGAGAGACACTAATTTGGGGTTTAATAACTACGATTTAAAATATGTCTGTGATAAGTACAATGTTTTAAAATTACAAGGAAGACAAACAAACAAAATAATTCCCTCAAAAAGCTGATTTGAAACTTTTTTGTTTTTTTAAATCTGTTACGCCATTCTCGGGGGTGCTGTAGAGCTATTTGGTATTTTGAATAGTTAGTGATCACCTAATAATTCTAATATTTGCACAAGAGCTGCATTTTTCTGTAAAATGCCGTCTATCTATTTCGTTAGTTTGACAACAAGTGGAACTATTCAAGGTTGGTCTCTTTTCTCGCCGGTTCATAAAACAAAATGCATGACTTGTGGTCCTACACTTAAATGTGTCCCCCACCGTCTTGCTGCATTGATGTTGCGCGCGCGTGTGCTAGCGACAAATTTAGTTCAAACTAAATATCTCGCCGACACAGTCAACACAACAATCAGTGGCACATTGCAAAAGTTGAGTCCTAAGCTTTTCCCTGCACAGCGTATCGCATTTGTTATCAACGCCGCGGGGAGACGACACATGTCGAGTGAGGCTAAGAGGTTATGTGTTGACAACATGGCCGCCAAAAAGATCGGAACCCACAACGGAACCTTTCATTGTGACGAGGTTTTGGCCTGCTTCTTCCTCCGGCAGCTACCCGAATACAAGGTGGGCAAACTCTCTGTGATATGTACTATTATCATGGTTTAAATGTCTTGCAGTCTTATGGGGGACTTATGTGTTTGGCCTTGCGTCACTATAATATGTCACATCGGGGCGCTGTTGTAAAGTAACATGGAAGTGATGCGTTTTGCAGAGGAAAGTCACTGTGTCAAATACCACAATTACAGGGAACAAAATTGGCACGTTTTTCGGTGTTGCTGTTTCTCGACATTACTCCGGGACAGTCAGGGCTTGGCTGATGAATAGCACACGTCGCAGCATTAGGTGCAATTGCACACTCTACATTAGTGGTTATCATAATTGTTACATTAAGTACCCCCACGGAACATGTATTGGTTTAGGACCTCCATAACATAAAATAAATTAACGATTAAAAACATGTTTAAATGAGTAATGATTCAGTTACGGTTAATTGAAAATAAAAGTTTAAAAAAGTGCTAAATATGTTCAAATCTAAAGCAGTGGTTTTCAACTTGTCACCCAGGGAACCGAATCTTCCGAATTTTGCGCAGTCGTGATCCATTTTATAGAACTTAAGAGCAACGAAGTATCAAGTCGCCTTTGAAAATACATTTACAGTATTTTACGTTTTTAAATGCAGTTTCAAGTGAGTTTGACACACCTCCAAAACTACATTGCTAGCTATGATGCATGTTAGCCAAAGGCTCAGCTGCACTCTATTTGTTGACAGAGTAGCTAATGACGAGGGCACAGGTGAGTAACATTTCTTGGTTTTGTATGTTCTATGTGGGAGCTTTATGCGTGTGCTTTTTTCGTGTGCTTTTTTCATCCTCTCCAGTTATAGTGCTTTGGTCACATCTTGTAGCATCCATGTGTAATCACAAGCCCGTTTTAATTAGAGGTCTTCAATGATTTGCAGATCTGTCGCTATCCCTGTGTTCACTCATTATACAATATGGGAATTTTTAATTTCCTCCGTCCATCCATCTACCCACTTTCCAATCTCCTTTTCCTCACATGGGTTGTGGGGGTTGCTGGAGCCTATCCCAGCTGACTTCGGGCAATAGGCGGGGTACACCTTAAACTGGTTGCCAGCCAATCACAGGGCACAGATAGACGAACAACCATTCACACTCACGATCACAACTCAGGACAATGCATGTTTTTGGAATGTGTAAGGAAACCGGACTACCTAGAGAAAACCCACGCAGGCACTGGGAGAACATGCAAACTCCACACAGGAAGGCCGGAGCCGGAATCGAACCCTACACTTCTGCACTGTGGGGCGGACCTGCTAACAAGTTCTCCACTGTTCCGCCCTTTCTAATTTCGTTGAAAATGAAAATACATTTCACTGGTCAACAGCAAATTTAAGTCAAAGATAGCTTGATGCGACCGTAAAAGTATTTTAGATGCTGATTTCAAAAATGTCTTTACTTTTTCTAGCGCATCAGGTTTTGGACATATTTCCTTTTTTTTGTTTTTAAGTGTGACCTGTAAACCTATACAGTTTTCTCTTGCATTATCATTTATCGCTATGATGTTTTTGATAAAAATAAAATCAACCTGTTGCAGAACCTAACCCGTAATTCATAAATAAGGTTAAATATATCATATTATTGTTACGAAAACTAATTAATTGTAAAATATCAAAATTTGCAACAAAAAAAAAAAAATCAGAAAAGTCTACTTGCATTTCCGGTAAAAGAAAAATGCAAAAATTGGTGAGCCGTTATCCTTTGTAAAGGCAGATACGACAGCTCACTCGTCCAATAGTGCTCTTTAGGTGTTGGAAAAAGTGCCTAATAATGAAGTGTCTGGTGAGCCTCAAATTGACCTAATGATTGATTGGCTTGTTAAAAGGTCAAACTTGGTTCCTCCTTTGAGTCCAATTAGGCCTATGTGTTCAACAGTGAGCGCCAAGCAGGCTTCATTTAATTTCCCATTTCGTTATATCCTGTCGGTGTAGGGCACCAAAATAAGACATTTGGATGAATTGAATTATCGTTTCCCAAAGACTTCTTGTCCCGCTTGACCGCTGCTTGCTGGTTAATTGCTCGTCTGTTATGTTTCTCCCACAGAATGCGGAGATCGTGCGGACCAGGGACCCTGCGCAACTGGCTTGCTGCGACATCGTCGTCGATGTGGGAGGAGAATTTGATCCACAGAGGCACCGCTACGATCATCATCAGAGGTATGTGGCAGTGATTTACGGCTGTCCGGAGGATGACACAGCAGCTCCGGCTGACGGTTATTAGTCCAGTGGGAGAAGCCATGCCGGTGAACTTGATATACAACTTGTAAATTGTTTATGATTCCATGTATTGGGGATTAGACGAGGCTGTTGTGATGGTTGGACTGTCAAAGTGGAACGTGGTTTTCAAATGAAGCCAGTGAGGCTATTCTTTGACGATGGTAGACGTCAGAGAATGGGAAACCACATTTCCCATTGAGATTCATTATGTTGTAGTAATCTGTCCGAGAGTCCGACACATCATAAAATTTATTTACTGTAAACTTCACATTTTAAGACTAAGACAAATGGAAGCAGAGGTCATCTAGCCTCATGGTATAAAATTAAAAACACTAAAACACATTAAAACAATCGCAATGTTAAAGAGGGCGTATTATGGAGAAATAACTTCCGTTTCTAACTTTGCTTGAATAATCCATGTGTATCCCATATAAGGCCAATGGAGAGTACAGATTTTGTTACCATGACGACTGGGAGTGTAGGCTTGGCATTGATACTGGAGTGTCTTCTGCTTATGGGAGCAGAGCCCAGAGTGTGTGTGATGTGTGTGTGTGTGTGTGTTGGGGGGCAAATCTAGCTCCCATGAAGGCAGACCTTCAAACGCTGCACTGCGTGTATGTGGCGCATGGATACATCAGCAAACACCAATATCCCCCAGTCGAATCGGCAATTTAGCCACGCAACCAAATATGTGACTCATCTGAATCGTACCTTTTGGCTTTGATATGACAGGAGAGTCATCACACCCATGGGGGATGTGGGAGTTTCTGCATGATAAGGTTTCACAGAGTAGGATTCTCACCTGTCCAAGTTGATCATGTCATGTGTGGAGAAACTCAATATGGGGAAAATAAATACGTAAATTAGCCCCACCCAACATAACGTTTCACAACGTCTTGGTCACAGACATTTTCAGAAAGAGGCACACAGCTAAAGATTTACTGTTCAATTTTACGCTTGATCGTTGAGCAGGTACTCCAGACCCCCATCTTTTTGTATAGCCATTAAATAGTCAATTTTCAGGAACATTTTCCAATTATGACATGTTTTTCCTGACTCTGTATGTATAAGGAACGAATATAGAAGCACCGCTGCATTCACATCACGCAGATTTTTGTTGCGTGCATGAACCCCGTCAGGCCTCAGTGTATTGAACGCTCTCATTCTGCCTCAAGGCATCTTGGGAACAATATTTCACACAATCAGCAGCGCAAATTCTCCACTTGCTGATGGCATGAGTCACTCATATAGACTGGTCAGCTCGGTGCCCTGATGTTGACAGCCATAGATTTCACCGTGCCTCCACACACAAACACACGCGCACACACACACTTACCATATAATAAAGACATAGCAGGTCTCTTTTCCCAGCAGGCGACTGTTGATAATTAGTTTTCTTCTATTGATCGCCCTCCCTGCCGGGCGTTCACGAGGCACACCGGCTGTCACCACACTGCCAGTGGTCCGCAGGAGAACGTGGGTGTCACGCATATTGCGCAGATGCGCGGACCCGGTGTGATTAATGGATCTAAGCAGGCTGCACCGTGCGTGAAGTCGGCGAGAGAAGGGATATTCAGTAGCAGTATAACAGATGGACATGACAACAACACTATTAATATCCTTCTTTGACCAACCACCACAAATATTCGAAACATTTGCAAACATTGAATGACAAATACATAAATATTAGAAAACAAAACCATTAGATGTAAAACACACCAACCATACAAGAAGAATTCAAAAATATTAGGGGGAAAACACCAAGCTATGAGATGCCAACTTCTAGAAAAGGAACATTTTAGTTGTCATACACAAATATTAAGGGGAAAAAAATACTACAGAGAAATACTAGAAAAACAATAGAAAGTACTGTATTAGACAAAAAATAGACATTTTAGGCGATAACACAGTTGACAAATATGTAAAAAAAAAAATTAAGCTGAAAAAAAACACAATTAGGATAATATCACAAATATCCCCAGAAGCATACAAACACGAAAAACACAGATCTATTACAGTACAAATAATGAACATAAATACTAAAAAATAGTAATTGACAAATAATAAAACAGCAAAACTATTGGATAGAAAATTCAAAAATATTTGAATGAAAAACTCAAATGAAAAATAAGGAGAATATAATCACATATAAGAAAAATACAAAAATATTATGGAAAAGTATTACCAGAAATACAAAACAATGAAAGAACATTTACAAAATAATAAAAGGAAAAATGTCAAGTGGAGTACCGGTAATTAGAAACGGATACACAATTATTGACACAAATACTTGGATTTTTTTTGGGGGCATTTTATAAATATCAATAAAAATAAAACCACTATAGTACATTAACTCAAGGCAGAATAATCCGGAATCCAGCAACACCAAAGTGGAACGAAATCCATTGCCTTCCAAGTTGTTAAAATTTCACCAACAACAAGAGCAGTCAATTAAGTGCAAGTCGTGTCACAGTGAAAAGGGACAACATGATTTTGTAATTGGGGGGAAAAAAACCCCAATTGGCACTGAATGTGACAAGCAAATATAGCACCATTAAATCAAATCTTTGAATAAAAGAGAAACTATGTAGCTTCGTCAGACTTTCTCGTTACAATCTTTATCAGGAGTGTGGTGCCTTGTCCACACAAACATCCCTCTTATTCTCCATTTTTCTGTTCACTTCTCCCCTCACATGTTAATGAGCACAGGGATCCTCCAGCTTGGCCAATTAGGATCTTTAATGGCCCTGATTACCCCCCGGATCCCTCACATGTCACTCATTCACTCGACAGTCACTTAACTGCTGCAGCTCGCGCGTGCCTTCCAATTAGGCCCGAACCAAATGACCAGCAGTGCCTCGATGCCGCCGGATAAGACCCCCACCCACCGCTCCATCTGTGCACGTGGCCGTTTATTTATGTGCGCTCATGCTCGCAAACACGCCACTCAACTTGCTCGCTTCTAATCTCTACTCTTTGCAAACTGGAAATGAAGCCCAATTGGACTCTTCATTGCATCCCAAGTTCTTGCTATTGACATCTGCTCCACATCCAGTCATGATTTTAAAAACAGCTTGATACTGAATTTGCAGTACTATTTATTATTACTATCACAAATACTAATGGGCAATTGACCGCTCTTGGGCTATACTGTACATGACCCTTGAGAGCATTTGACCATCTGGCGTACAATTCCAAACACAAATTAAAGTGAGGAGCAGCAGTGAATAGGCCCTCTCCCCTCATTTCCCATGGCAAATCCTTGAAAGATCAATAAATAGGCTTATTAAAAAAAAAAAAAAAAAAAATCTCAAATGGTCTTAAATTCTGGACTCTGAAAATATTTAAAATTTTCATCAAGACAGAAACATTTACAAAAATCTGTTAGTGTTCGGGCATGTCGAGGCCCCCGAATGGGCGACAGGGACACACTTTAAAGACTGTCACAAGCGTTATAAAAATAATGGTACCTTCCAATGGCCCAGCTCACTTTCATGTTAACTGCCTTTACGTTCAGGACCTTTGCAGAGACCTTTCACAGCCTTCGTCCCGACAAGCCTTGGCTGACCAAGCTCAGCTCTGCCGGCCTGGTCTATCTCCACTTTGGCCGTCGGCTGCTGGCCCAGCTGACGCAGCTGAAGGACGACGACAAGCGGCTGGAGATCCTCTTTGACAAGGTGGGAGTGGCACGGCGACCCTATTTGACACTTCGCAGGGATTAGTATGCATTGTGTTCTGTCCGATGCAATTTTCGATTGGACCAAATCATCCACTGCAGGGACCTGCTGGGGGAAAACACGTCCAATGCACTGATATACAGCAGAAGGACCTGCATGCACTCAAACTACATCAGTTCAAACAGTCTGACGCTGGGAGGGATATGAACAAGATGCCGTATGACATCTGATTCGGGGGTGTCAAACTCATTTTTGTCATGGGCCACAAATTGCGGAAAGAAATCCATATCTCCTGGAAAGCACGAAAATCACAATATGTAAGAAATAGAATTTTTTTTATGGCATTTTACCTCCATCAGACAGTTGGCAGCAGAGAAGGCCCAGAAATAAATGCAGCTAGTATGGAAATGTGACAATTCCGCTGTGCCAGGCTTCCAGCCGAGTATACTGCAGTTCTATTTATTGGATTTTGGACCCATCAGCAGGAGGCCCGTGCATCCGCCTCTTTGCATGGCACATTAGACTCACCAAATCTTTGCTCGCCATGAATGTAATCACTATTAACTTGCATCATCCCCAGCCTGCGTGAATCCTCAAACAAAATGCTTTGTGTGTGCTCCTCAGCCACTTTGGATGGTGAAAAGGTTTTTTTTTTAATGCCCCGAGGCTCGATTTCACCTTATATCATCCTCTTCTAATGTCAACTGATCCGCTTGTTACCTTGGATGTCCTGGGAGGAACGGATGTTTAGTCCGAATATATCTCTGACTTTGGTGCTCTTCAATTGCTTTCCTGTCTAACCTTTTCCAGTTCACTGTAAAATAGCAGCGGGTCCTCTATGGTTTAACAAGCTTGCGATGCACTTCAGCACTCATTTACTAGCAATACATCTGGACCTAATGGGCCTCAATGTCCCGTTTCCGCTTCCTTCTGTCTTGGGTGGGGGGCGGGGGGGATAGCAGTGTATTAATATAAACCTGTCTATTTCTGTGTCATTATGTATTCATTAAGCTCTTCTTTTGCATCCCCTGTTCACTCCTTGGCAGCTCTATGAGAACTTTGTGGAGGAGGTGGACGCCATAGACAATGGCATTTCACAGTGTGACGGTGAGGCACGCTACGCCATCTCCACCACGCTGAGCGCACGTGTTGGTCATCTGAATCCGCGCTGGAACAGCAAGAGTCAGGACACAGAGGTGAGCAATGTGTGTACGCATTTTTTTGTGGAAATCAGTGCGACTCATGACAGAAAGGCGATGTGAAGCTCAACATGAAAGGCGGTCACGCCTCAAACATGGCGATTGACAGTGAAGCTTTCATACCATCCCAGTATTCCTCTTGTCAGACCCCAAGCACAATAAACAATTTTCTGTTTTCTATTCATCATTGCAAATGGCTAAATGTATCATTGCAAATGGCTAAATGGCTGACTAGTTCTAATAAAATAACACATACAGAAATCGGTATGTAAATTATCAAGAGCTTTATTATTTTTTTTTCTCTGATGAAGCAAAATCCAACCCAGTTCTGTTGTTCGGGTGGTGAGGTAACCCAAATTTGCACGCAACACGTTAATCTACACTAATGCAGTGGTGATGTCATAAACCCAGTAAATATTTGCTTTTTAAAAAAAAAACACTTTTAGCCCAGAACATAGAACAGCCCAAAGGAAAAACAGTGGGTACGGTGGTAAACAAAATCCGGTTTTAGCTACCTAATATTTTTAGAAAAGATGACCGTATTCTACTGATTATCCAATGTTTAAAACCATACTTTAAAAATGACATGAACCCATTTTCTTAAAAGTAGTTTGTATGTCTGTTACCTCATCAGTGCAGAAGCAAGATGCCTCCAGAGGAAATGGATTGTTATTGTGCTGACTCTCATAAGACAACTTCAACCTACCTATGCATAACTGCTGTCTGTGTCACCACATATTTTCCGGGCTGCCCATTTGTTTTGTGTCATTTCCGTTGTCAAGTGAATGTATGCAATTACTTCCAATTGCCCTGCTTCTGACACATCTCACGCACCTTTGCAGTTGGCACAAAAGCACTCAGATTTAATTGAAAACAATTGCTTGCCAAAAATTCTCAACTGAGACTTTTTAGGATGCAAAGAGATTCTCATCACTTCTGTCTGTGAAAGTCAGAATCATAGCAGGCCAATGTCTAGACCTATTTTTTTTTTTCAAGCTATTTTGCCCACATTGAATTAATATAGGTTGACGTCGCCCAAGGGTTTTCATTTTTGATTGTACTAAAGCATGCAGCAAAATTCAGGATGTCTTCATATAGAGTCAAAATGTGTGTCACTTTTTATGTTGAATTCTAGTGTGTATTTATACTGTTGCAGTTCTTTCATCTCCAACATTGGAAAGCCTTTTCTCTCAAGAAATCTACACATCATTAATTCAATTATGAAGGATTAATGGTTAACACAATTTCAAAAAGCCAGAGGTTGAGCTGCACTTTATTTGTTTACCGAAATAAACCCGTGGCTAGAGTTTGGGGAAGGTACACTTGGTCACCAACCTGCAGTTTTCATAGTGGCATCTTGTTACGCCTACGTCCTGCATCAGGAAAAGGAAACTACGGATAGAACTCGTAATCTTTTACTCCTGTAGCTGTCCGCGACTCACTGTTTGATCCTGACCACCAGTTGAGAATCACGGCTCTATATTACTTGGCCATCAGTCAATTAGACAACAAAATAGGAAAAAAAATAAACCGAACTTGCCAACAAGTGCTCTTTTTACTGCACCATCTACATCTTTCCATCTACAGGAGGGGTTCAAAAAAGCTTTGGCATTAGTTGGGGATGAGTTTCTGGACCGTTTGGATTTCTACAAGTCCTCCTGGTTGCCAGCCCGCCAGGTTGTGGAAGAAGCCGTTAACGAGCGGTACAAGGTACATGCAAAATGTCTGATGCAGCTGTAGTAGCATATCTGCAATGTAAATTAAGTGTTGTCACGTAAAAAAAAAACTATGGAGACAGACTATGATTAGCCTCTTTTGTTTCCAGGTTGATCCCTGTGGGCAGGTGATGGAGTTCTCCCAAGGCGGCTGTCCGTGGAAGGAGCATCTGTTCGCCCTGGAGAAGGAGCTCCAGGTGGAGACGCCCATCAAGTATGTGCTGTACTCCGACCAGAATGGACATTGGAGGGTCCAGTGTGTCCCTGCAGGCCTCAACACCTTCCAGAGCAGGTGAGAACAGTTGGCGGCATGATTTTCATAAATAATGTCTGCTTGACAAGGTCCAGCTGCTTGTTACCAAACAAGCCCGAGTGGATACGGAGTGGTGACAGGCGTGGGCTCCACAGTCTCCCCCGATGTGTTTAGTTGACTCACTGCTCATTGGAGCATTTGACAAGTACCGAAATCCTTGTTTGACGAATGAGAAGGATCCTTTAGTTGAAGCAGAGGTCATTGCTCTGTGCAGAAACAGAGTTAAAAGGATGTAAACACATCCTAGGTCTCAACAGAGCCACCTGAGCCCGGACATGATGCGTGGCTCTTTTACTTCTGGGAAACACTGCATAGCCACTTGCCCTACTTGACGGATGCTTTCATTTACAGCCAATTATCGGCATGAACTCCACTCCTTTTCCAAAGGTGGGTTTTAATGAATGTGAGCTCCACAAGGGTAATCTGGCGAGCAACATCCTCTATTGAACCAGTCTCTTTAATTAGCCCGTCACCATAGGCGACCTGCCTCCACCCTGGGGAATGCAGTGGAACAAGGTCAGTCCAAATTTGCAGAACCGTACCTGTGAGAGTCCACTCTGTTGATGACGCTATTGAAAATACATGCGATTGTCCTCATGTTCAGTCGAGGGTTTGTGATTGTATATGATGGACAAGGCCAAGAAAAAAAATGAATGATCGAGTCAAATGCAAAGTGTCTTGTTCTCCAATATTGATTTTAGAAGTGGGTGCAGCTCTTTATTTTTACACAATGAAGATTTTAACAATAACATTACCCTGAACAATACTGCCTTTTGTAGCGGTACCTTAACAGTATTCTTATTGGTACTATGATTAAGAAAAACACCCCAGAAAATATTGGCATTAACACTGCTTTATATTATTTTATTGTTTTGATGCTGACTCCACACATCAAAAGAATCTGCTCCTCATTACATTCTGTAGCCTAAACACAAGCCTGCAGTCAACCTTGTTGGTCCTGCTTCATCTTCATTTTGTTTTTTTTTCTGTCTTGCTGATTAATGGCGGCGACGATGGCAGGAAGCCGTCATTGTGAACGTGTTAGATGAGTAGCACCTATCAAGAATGGCTCCTGTTCCCCCAGAGGGGAAATGTTTACCTGCCGAGCCTGCCCACAAAGCCGCTTGATTAACGTCATCAGCGGCCCCACAGGAACACCGTAGTTGCTGTTATTGACTCGCTGCACCGTTTCCCAGCATGCCACACACACAATTTGTACTATGTGTGAGCTGCAAAAAAGCGGGTTTTGTTTCCCTAGTTTACCGTTTGCCAGTCTTTTCTCTATGAACTCTGGTCACTGTGCTGTCATTTGTCGCATCACGTGGAGCTGGCGGTCGATCCCAGCTTGTCCCAATGATACAGTGCTGCCGAATGGACACACATTTGGCATGAATTTCCTTCAACATAAGTGGCTGTCAGATGGGCCCACAGTGGAGCGCATTAAAGCCGGCTGTCTTCCTTTGGCTTTTTTTTTTTCTCTCATTGGCCTGAATGTGCCTCTTTAAAAATGGCGGTAACAGCTTTTGTCTTCAGCCAGCTGTTCTCCGGAGACAACCTCGAAGCAGGTGTAAGGGCTTGATTTGTGTTTTACTAAGGTGCGGCAATGAATGACAGTGTGGGGGATGAGCAATTACTCTGCACAAACAAAGACAGATAGTGCCTAAGGGATCAAGCCGCACGAACAATTGAGTGTTATCTACTCTTAACTACTTGGCTTCATGATTGTATTGAAGAATAATACAATTATCAGTCGTTAAAAATAAATAAGGAAACCACAGTGTGTGTGTGTGTGTGTGTGTGTGTGTGTGTGTGTGTGTGTGTGTGTGTGTGTGTGTGTGTGAAAAATATATA